CTTGGGTCCTCCTTTTCCTCCACACCACACGGCTCCCTCCGCCAGCCGTGACAGTCATGGTCAATGGGAACACTAGCCGGGGAGCGTTCAGGTTGCCTCGGTGGCCACGCCCTTGGGTTGGGCCATCAGTATCGCACCTGTATTCCATCCCTGGCAATTACTCCAAAACTATTTCACTTACCGTGGATGGCTGCTCCACGCCAGTCCTTTATTCACTCTTAGTTAACTTGGCTCTCTTAACCTCTGTGTTTATTCAAGTATTGAATATTGACTCTGATTGTAACCCACAGCATTCTTAATCTGGTTTAGTTTTAACTCTCTGTTTTCCTGCACACAAGTAATTGTTCCCTTTCTGTTGCAGCTTCCCACAGTCCCCATCACGGATTCTCAGGGCATTTCAGTTCCCGGTTTCCTCGACTTGAGTTATATTCTCGTTCCCCTGGTTGTTCCTGATCATTTATGTTAAAGAAATAAATCTGTACATAGTTCCTGTGAATTTTGTATCAAGTCTGCGTTTGGGTCCCTACTGAGTGTGAACCTTGGTTCATGACTTTCTCATTTTGATTCATCTGACCACAGAACATCTTTTTTCCTTTAGCTTCAGTCCATTTTTCATAAGCTTTGGTTAACACAGTGGTTCCCAAACTTTTTTTGCTAGGCCCCCCTTTGTTTTACAAGACAAATGTTGCCCTCCCATCCCCGCCATCCTCCAACCACACACACCCATATTTTGTTCCATTGCGGTTTATTTCACACCTCAAACATTTAGTAAACAATTAAGCAAATAAAAGTAATCTGCAATAAATTACAGGTAGTAATAAAATAAACGACTAACTCCTTTACGATACGTCCACACCTACACGGGTATTTTTGAAAACGCAGCTGTTTCGTCCACACGTAAACGGCGTTCAGGTCACCGAAAACTGAGATTTTTTAAAACTCCTTTTTTGCGTTTACGTGTGGACGAGGAATACAGAGTTCGTCACACAACATCAAAAGGTATGTGCCTAATTTCACGTCACGCTGTGCGCCACGTTATTGTTTACATGAGATGAATTGCAGAATCGCAGATAGAGACAAAATACTGTTAATCTGACTATCTTCAGTTTTTCCACGCTTACATACACACACAGTTACTGTCCCTCCATTTAGAAAGGCAGAGGCGTCACGGTGTGATTATTTTACGTGTAGTTGTTTTTTTCCTGGGTAATAATATTCAACATTGCTATCAATACATTTTTCAAAAAATGCCTCTCTGTGCAAAATGGGTTCAAAAACATAAACAGCTGTAGGATACTGTTTGTCCGTGATTTGAACTGGGGGAACAAATCGTGGCAGGATGAGCCTGATATTATTTTTATCCCGCTGTAACTTTACTGTATAAAGAGCTAACATCTCCGAAATGTCAGGAGTAGTTAGTCATTACAATAAGTGTTTGTGAACTAAAACTCAAGAATGTGGGATACTGTTTGTCCGTGATTTGGAGAGCCCAGCGCTGCTCCCGACAAAGGGAAAACCAATTATGCAGGGGAGACCTACCTTGGCACTTGTGCAGGTGAAACCAAAGGGAAGACATGCTTCACCATATTTTCTAGTCTTTGGCTTAGAATGAAGTTGGTTTGGAAACCTATTCAGTGATGCGATGCTTCATCTCCTGCTTTGCGTTTGTGTGGGCGCCCCGTGCTGGCAGTGTACAAGCGTTTTGGGTTTTATTTTCCCCTTGCAATGGCTCCGCGCTCCCCTCTAAGGGGCGGGCCCCACACTTTGGGAAGCTCTGGGTTAACAGAAGTTCATATTTAGATTCTTCTTTGTGTGACAGAGCTTCAACCTGCATTTGTGGATGTGACCTGTATTCACAGACACTCACTTGTAGAGGTGTTCGTGAGCTTTGCATTGATTTCCATGACAGAATCCCTGTTTTTAAAGCATGGCCCAATTCTGATTGGATATTCTGCCTTGTCTATGGTCTGTTGCCTTTCATTTGCCAGGTGGCATATTATTTGATTAACTATCAAATTTAATGCTTCAATGCAACTATTTAAAAAAGAAATTGACCTTGTCCCTTAGACACATTCTCTGAACCTTTTGATGATATTATGTACAGGAAACTATGACATATTTAAAGTTTGCAATTTTATGGAACATTATTCTGAAATTGTCAAACAATTCTTAGACACTTCTGGGAAGCTCTGCCCCTCTGAGATGCTCTTTTTATACCCAGTCATGTTACTTACTCCAAAAATGTTTCTCCCGCTTTTTTTCCAGTACTGCAGACTTTTCCAGACTTTTCTTGCCCAGCACCAACATTTTTTTCTGATATGTTGCTGTCATCAAATTCAATATAGTCTAGTATTTTTCTCCGTAAATTTTCTCACTTTAGTCTTTTTACATGTTTTCCATTTTCTTTTAAATTCCAAATCATCCATTCTGTTTATTTATCTATATTAATAACTATTTTCTGTAGAATAAATATCATTTTCTCTAATATATGTTATTTATATTATTTTCTTTACATTTTACACACAACTTTGCAACTTTTTTAAAATTGGGGTTGAACATGCTTTATATGTCAGTTGATCCCAAACAGCAAGCACGTGCTCCTCAAGTGTGATTTAGCTGGAATTCTGTATCACTCACCTGAGTGCAGGTAGCGCCGCTTCACATACAACAGCAGGATCACAACAGAGCCCACAACGAGGTACAAAATCCAGTTTGTTGGCTCTGAAACAGAACACACATCAGGCTCTGCTCCTCCCAGCTGCTAGCTCCTAGTACTATACTGACACTCACCTTCCACAATCAGGGTGAAACTTTTTGTTATGGGCACTTTCAGGGACTGATGGGAGACGCTGCATGTGAACTTTTTCCCAGAGTCCCTGAGCGCAGCCTGGAGGTAGAAGACACCTGACAGCAAGAAGGTCATGTCCCCATTTACTTTGTGGCTGAACAGAACACTATGGTTTAGTGGCTTGGGATGTGGAGTGCCTGGATCCTCCTCGTACCAAATTATCTCCACATCCCGAGGGTAGTAGCCATTTGCCTCACACTTAACCATCAAGTCCTTGCCCTCCTGCAATAACAGGGTGGTTGCAACATTGAGGGAGACATGGGGAGACTCTGAGGAAAGGAGAGAGAAAAATAAATAATAATAGTAATTTCAATACCTAACAGCAGACATTTATTATAGTAACTGGGCTGTTTTATTTAATTCACTCGTTTTAATTTAATATTCTTTCAGGTCAAAACTGGTGACATTTAAAAGTTGAGATTTGGTCTGAGTTCCAGAATTCTAGGAAGTCAAATTTGGTAAGATGCATTTCAGGTTACACACTTAACAGAATAATTTTTTAAAAAAAGTTTCTGACCACACTTAGTGGAGTGTAGTGGAGTAACAATCGAACAAATGGATTTAACAGTTCATTAAAACTGAGATTCTTAAAAGGGTGCTGTATATTGACAACATATAAAAAGTACCATATAAAGATTTCAAATATCATGTCACATTTGACCTCTTACATTTCCTTCAAGGTCAATAGATTGATCTGAAGGTCAAAGTAATAAAATGCTATAAAGAGCTATTTAAAAATAAGTTTCTTACTCTCATTGTTTGTACTGACAACATATACAGTACCAGTCAAAGGTTTGGACACAGCTTCTTATGGCAAGCACAACAGTCAATCATTACTTTAACAACTGAAGATCAGTCAGTCTGGAAAACTGCTAAAATTTTGAATGTATCCCCAAGTGCAGTCCCAAAAACCATCAAGCACTACGATGAAACTGGCTCACATGAGGACTGCCCCACAAAAGGAAGACGAAGAGTCACCTCTGCTGCTAAGGATAAATTCATCTGAGTCACCAGCCTCAGAAATCACAAGCTAACAGCACCTCAGATTAGAGCCCAGATAAATGCCACACAGATTTTCCAGTAGCAGACATCTCTACATGAACTGTTCAGTGAAGACTGTGAGAATGAGGCCTTTGTGGTCAAATAGCTGCTAAGAAAGCACCACTAAGGAAAAGCAGGCGAGGAGGTGTGATGGTGTGGGGGTGCTTTGCTGGTGACATGTTGGGGATTTATTCAAAATGGAAGGCACACTGAACCAGCATGGCTCCCACAGCATCCTGTAGCAACATGCCATCCCATCCGGTTTTCTATTAGTTGGACCATCATTTATTTTTCAACAGGACAATGACACCAAACACACCTCCTGGCTGTGTAAGGGCTATTTGACTGAGAAGGAGAGTGAGGAGTGCTGTGCCTGATGGCCTGGCCTCCACAGTCACCTGACCTAAACCCAACTGAGCTGGGTTGGGATGAGATGGACCACAGAGTGAAGGCAAAAGGGCCAAGGAGTGCTCAGCATCTCTGGAAATTCCTTCAAGACTGTTGGAAAACCATTTCAGGTGACTGCCTCATGAAGCTTATGGAGAGAATGCCATGAGTGTGCAAAGCAGTAATCAAAGCAAAGGGTGGCTATTTTAAAGAATCTAAAGTATATAAAATGTTTTGAGTTATTTCACGCTTTTTTGTTTACTGCATAATTCTATATGTGTTCATTCATAGTTTTGATTCCTTCAGTGAGAATCTACAATGTAAATAGTCATGAAAATAAACAAAAACCATTAAATGAGAAGGTGTGTCCAAACTTTTGACTGGTAGTATAGACATTTAGGGAATGATCCAATCCTATGTACCTTCAATGTGCAGATATACATCCACCTTGGTGAACAGTGGATACACGGACACTGAACAAATGTAGGTCCCTTCACTGATCATTGTGGTGGAGGCGAGGGTGTAAGAGGCATCTCCAGCCGCAAGGGCACGTAGTCCGACACCGCTCCCCTCAGTCTGTCCTGTGTGCCTGTTGTAACTGAAGAGCTTGGTCCTCTCACCAGGGCGGTGCCTATGCCACTCTACAGTGACCTTTGCACCCTTGTGGTCAACATCAAACTGGCAGTGGAGCTTTTGCTGGGACTTCAGGCGTGCTTTAACTGAGGGAGTCTGTGTTTTGATGACCATGGCGACTGTGGAAAAAGTGTGACAAACAACACAAGTGTCCTTTACTCAAACAGGTGACAACCACTTCCTGTATCTATGACATGACAATTATTTGGCCATCCACCATTCCAAGTCAATATAACTATAACTGTCTCTCTATTTCTACTCTAATCTTCAAGATACAAACACAGTTTCTTTTCAGCACTCTGTCCTTGAACTTCTGCCACTGCAACAGGCAGGCAATTAACAAACCCCTAGGAGATGGTCTGTATGGCTCAAAAGAAAAAAACTGAATCCTCATATGTGAGTTTACCTGCGGTGGTGAGTACCTCTTTGTCAGCGATGACAGACCAGTTGTGGTAGTCTGGCTGCCCTGGGGGAGGCTGGTCAGAGGGGTGTCTAAGGGTGCCAGCGACTGTGAAGCGGCCCCTGCTGTGTCTGAGGATGCAGGTAAACCAGTGGTTGTACTCCCGGGCACCGAGGACAGGCCAGCGGACGTAACCACCCTCTGTGCTGTATCTGTGCAGCTCACACTTCAGCTGCTCTGCCTCCACCCCCTCCACATACTGCAGCAGATCCAACTTTGATCCTAGAAGACAATAAAATAAACACTAACACACTGTAGTTGTTTTTTCAGCCTTCTCCTCATGCAGGCTGCAGTAACTCACTGATGACCAGGAAAGTGATGCCGTTTGTGTTAACAGGAGCATCTCCTTTCTGACCAAACTGAAGTATAGCCTCTCTGGGGATGACCCGAGTCTCAGTGTGGTTGTCCTTATTCAAATACAAACGCTCATCAATGAAGTAACAAGGCAGCCACTGGATCTGATGGACACTCCACACACCTGAATGAAACGAATACATCAGTCAGACAGCATAGCCGTTGGAATTCATGCGGTAGACTAGAATATCTATAGTCACTGTTGACCTAACACGCACAAACTGACCTAAGCTAATCTGTGACAACGTGTTGCACTATAACTCACCTGCACTTAGATACAAATAAACAAAAATCCTCAAAATTAAAACCCTCATTCTTCTCCACTGTCGAACTCCTTGTTGTCCGATGTCCACACAAAGTTTCTCTTGACACTTTCACTTTCATTTCAAAGGAAAAAGAAAAAAGGAGTGCGATTTCTGGCGTGATGAGCAGCTCGAAAACATAACCTTTAAAAAAACATTAATCATAATCAAAAAAGTTAATAAAATCGAGAATATATGCTAGGAAGTTGCAAATAAATAAATAAATAAATCAGGATACAATGTCCTAGTTCTTTTTACAGCGTTCCTGTTTTAATGTTAGACGTGACATTATTGTAGCTGCAGCCTATCCCAGCTGCCACGTGGCCAGAGGTCTGTCTGGTAGGTGCATATTTTACTTTATCCATTACCACACAAACGGACTAAACTGTGAGCGGTACCCGGTGTACTTGGAGTCACGGGGCAAATGTACTCCATATTTGATTCGAACTCAGGATTGCTGTAATGTGACTATGTGAACCACCGCACCACATAGTTTAATAAATAGTTCACAGCAGTTCATGAGGAGTCAACAGTTTGCAACAGGTGCTTTTGCTTTTGACTTTATATAAAACTCGTAGTATTGACTTTGCCCTGAGATGTCGCTGTGAGGGCATGACGACAGCAGCCTTACTAGTCTTTCCGGCACCAGAGCTGATGGACGAGAGTCATGTCACTTCCTGTTAATCTCGTTTCACTATTTAGTTCGCCTGAAAGTCCTCAAATAATAGCTGTGAATGTAACGAAAGCACTCAAATAATTATTTCTCCATGCCCGATTTTAGGTCTAATAATCTACATCATACGTTATTTAGATATTGGGAGCGTAGTTAAACCACAACAAAGCCTATCATGCATATGAGAACACGCTGCTTGTGGTGGTCGAAGGTTTTTTGTTTTCTTTGGTTTTTTTCGTACTTTAATTCAATTTATGCACATATTACAATCTCTCGTTGGGAGACAACATTAGTGCAACAACATCTTGAAAAGGTTGAATAAGAAACCAAACGAAATAGGAAAAAAAAAGTGGTGGTCGAAGGCGATCACTGTCAGGAAGTTACTGTCAGACGTTTTCCGCGGCTGTGTGTTTCATGCCTGAAAGTAAAGTAGTCGATGCATTATGCGGCTCTTGGTGCTGTTTGTATTACACCGAAATGTTGGAAACCATAAAAATGTGAAAATGAAGCTACATCTATTAACTATTAAGGAAAATATTTAAAAACAAAACAAAAAACAATAACCAAAATTGTTTACTCAACAAAAATGACATTCTGGGGCTGAATAGAGCTCTATTCATTCTGCCATATGCTTAGAGCGCCCTCTATGAAACCGGAAATCCACAGAGTGGGAGTTCTTGATCATGAATACTCTCTGGTTGCACACGCTGACGCTAACAGCGGAAGCGCTTTATACGAAGTTTGTGTCACTCTGATAGAAACCTTTGCTGGGAGGTAGTATCGTGTTTGCTCTCTACTTCATTATACTCTGATGTAAAGTATTAGAGCTGTGGTACAGCTTATAGTTGGAACTAAAATTAGCAAACTAGCTTCTCAGCATCCAGGTCCACTCTGCAGCTTTGGCACTAATAATGAACAAAGGTAACCGTTACACTCCTCACGTTCCCACAGAAAACACGAGTCACAATTTCTGTTTTGCTACAGTTAATGTTGCATGTGCAGAGATTTTTCGCCATAATCAACCCCCACAAAATTAAACAATATCAGCTTTAGCAGTTTAAGAGGTAATGCTGTTCTCTAACCGCTCTGCTGTATGTGTGTGAGAATGACAGAGCAGCGACATTTTTTTCTATATATATTTATATAGCTTGTATTCATTCTGTGTGGAACTGAAAAATAGACACCAATACCTTATTCTACAGAGTGTGGATGTTCATATACAAGATCACGATTTAAAATAATGAGATATAAGTAACCTCTCTGAGCTCAGGCTTCAGACCATGTTCCTTCCACTGTCAACTTAAGATGAACCAGAGTTGAACTTCAGCTTATCTCCAGTCAAAAGCCATTTTCAAAGTGGCATTTTTTGATCTTAAGATCAAATGTGTTGTTTTTTGCGCAGCTTTGCCATTTTAGGCTAATTTAAGGAGCCGAGAGGACAGTTAAAAATTTTGAAAAAAATCCATTTCCTCTGGCAAATTTGAGTTTTGATGCCTTTTCTCTTGTTCTTTCAGACTCGACAGTGCTTCAGGGAGCTTTCCTCCTGGCTGATAAGCTGTGTTTCCCCTCATCTCTGTCCACCATTCAGAAAGCAGACTGGAGCCGGGTGGGACATGTGATCCTGGAAGCACTCAAAGAAATCTGCAGACAGGATGAAGTCAGTGACTGTCCCAACCCAGCAGCTGAGAGCTGGAAAAAGAGGATGGTTTGTGTTGTGTGGCTGAAGCTGCTGTGCAGAGAGGCTGAGGAGAACGTTGAGTTTGCTTGGAGGGAGAACCCTTTCTTCTCTCTCCAAAACAGCCTCCCTGAGGTCAGCCGTGTCGTCCTGCTGGAGCTGGTGAAGTCAGCAGCAGCTGCGGGTGTTTTTGCCAGTTTCCTCCTGCGTCTTCCTCACGCTCAAATCTGTGCTGAGCTGGAAAGGCTGGTGGAACATGTGAGGAGCGATCCCATAGGGGAAGACGATGTCCGACTCCTTCTGGAGGTTTGGTGGGAGCTGTGGAAAGGCAGAGTGGAAGAGGAGGTTGGAGAAGAAGAGAGCATAGAGAAGATGTTTGCCAGCCAGCTTGCTCGCCTCTCCTCTGAGTCCTCCAGTCTGTCCCCTCAGGCTGCAAAGAGGTTAAAGTTAGACACGCCAAATTCAGCAGATATTCTGCACATTCTTCTTTACGCACTCAAAGACATGAAAGGTCACATATCCTCACCTGACCTCTGCTTTCAGGCCTTATCCATTTCCCTCGATGCTCTTTACACAACCTTCCTGATAGACCAAAACGTGGTGCTTCCAGCTAAAGAGAAGTTGGACTGTTTGTGTAAAATCCTCCGAGCCAGGGAGGAGAACATGGAGAAGCTGAGTCCTGAAATGATTCAGGAAGCTCTGAAAGACTTGCGTGCTTCTCACACACCTTCTCAGTTTAATCTGCGGCAGATGAAGCTTAGTGAAGCCCTGAGGATTATCACAGAGCTTGCACAGTTTTGGCAAAGCGGTGTTCTCAGTCAGTGTGACCACTCCAGCCCTAGTTACTCTGCTTTCCAGCTAGAACAAAGCATCCAGAGGGTCCTGGCTTCTCTAGAGGAAGCACCCGGAGCTGGTAGTGACGACTTTGAAGGAGAGAATGATACACTCAGAGGTGTGCTGAAGTCACTGTCCCTCCCTGCCGCAGAGAGCAGCCCTGAAGTGAGCGCAGAGGTTGCTGCTGTCATCATCACCCATCACCTGGAAGACTGTGAGGACTTTGCAGCGTTGTTTGCCAGCGAGCCATTATGGGCAGAACGTGCGGATCGCTGGCTCGACTGCCTGGAAAAGAACCAGGGGGCATTCCGGCAGCACAGCACCCTCATGAGCCTCGCCTCCACCCTAATGAGCAGACTCCATAGTGAGAGCGCTAATGTGAGGCAGTGTCACAAACTGTTGAAAATCACTTCAGGTATTTTCTCCACACTCGCATTAGAAGACCAGAACAAAGCGTTGGCTGCCATGCTGAGATTATCCAGCAGGGGGTTCTTCGAGTGCTCTGTACCTGCTGCTCTAGCTGATGGGTTTGAACAGGAGCTCAACATGGCCTTCAACTGCATCATTCAGGGGGCGGGCGGAGCTTCAGTGGGAGCTTCACAGGGCAATCTGACTACGGCAGCCTCTCTAGTTGCAAGAGTGGCCTTTCAGAACCCCAAAGCCACTTTGAGGTCCTGCTGTCATTCGGCTGTTTTCAACAAAGGAGCTTTCTCTCTAATGGCTAAGATCCTGGAACAGCTGCCAGGACTCAGAGAGCAGAGGGGAAGAAGAGATGGAGGGAGGAAAAATGTGGTGTGCAGTTTACTTTGCAAGTGTTTACAGGACATGATCCAGACCAAGTCACTGTTAGCAACTGAAAAAGAACAGTTCCTCAAGTTTCTGGGTCTGCTCATGGAGCCCGTCACTTCAGCTGAGGGAGAAGGAAAGAGGGAAAGCATTCTGTCACCTCAGGAAGTCGTGAAAACCTTTGTCCTGCCTAACCTCTCAGCTACAGGTGAATATCACATGTTTATGTTTACCACAACCTACATTAGCTATTTTATTAGCATTTTACAGTTGTGATCAAAAGTTTAGATCCACTCGTCATGGATATGAATGTCATGGTAAACGTGGTGCTTCCATCATGTCTGGGCTTTTAACATTTCCAGGGTGGAATGATTGTACAGCATACATGTGTGATGACTTTGAAAAAACCCAAACAAGAATTGGATTCACAGGTTTTAATTTATTTTCACTGATCCTGACAGGGTCAAAATTCTAAATGTTAAATGAAAAGGTTAAGTGTACCGTAGCATGTTGCATCTTCATCAGACACTTTTAGTAGTTACCAATAAGCATCTGGCATAATTCTTGGCAGAATTGATAGGTTATTCAAAATTATTGGTTTCCAGGCATAGACCACTAGAGTTGAGGTCTGGGCTTTAGGAAGGGAATTCCAGAAGGTTACGGTAACATCAGCCTTCTTTATCCACGTTTCAACCATCTGACTGTTGATTTGAGCCACAGAGCATGATGCTACCACGGCCATGCTTGACAGCAGGTACAGCATTCTTAGGTTTGAAAGCCTCTGCAGCTGCAAGTGTCAGTTAAGTGTGAAGATGTCGATTTTGGAACAGGGGCTTCTATATCGGCACCTTCTTGGTCCATGGCGATGTAAAAAAAAAACAAAAAAAACCTCTTCACTGTGGACAGTGATGCTGCTGTTCCAGAAGTTTCCAGTTAAAGGCAGGCTTGATGGTCCCTGGGTTGTCCCTGAACCACTTTCATCTTATCTGAGATTGACTGTTTGTCTTTTCCAAAAATTGGAACAGCGGTTCAGTTACAGTGTACTTGTTCTTACATACAGTTGTTTGAACTGGTGATCACAGAGTCTAGCTGCTGAAAGCTGGCTCCATTAAGTATCTGGAATGACCTTCCTAAAGTTCTGAACTGAACCCTGTTTAAAAGTTGTGCACTATGACCAACCAATTTAAATGAAATGTGTTTAAATTAAATACCAATTCTGCCAATAAGAGTGTTTAAATAGCAGCCAGAGTTAAGGCAGATGACTACTAAAAGCATCTGGTTAAAGTGTGGTTAAAGGCACATTTAATCAAATATTAGTAAGGTGCATGTATATATGAGAGCCTGTATGTTAAATCTTGGCCCTGTGTGGATCAAAGAAAATCTAAAATAAATTTTTTTCTTTTTTTTAAAGTCATTACAGATGGATGCTATACAAGCATTCCAGCCTAGAAAAGAAACAGGATAAGGAAATCATGAAAAGTCACCCAAATCACCCTGACATGTATCACCAGGATGAGTGGATGGAAACCTCTGACCACAGCTGTAGATTCATTTTAAGTTACATTTGGCTAATCTACCTATAACCCAAGGCTGTCACATAAATGCATTGGGATGTAAAGTAAATTATTTGTCACTGATAGTTATCCTGTGGTTCTGCCAGCTCACTGTTCTGTGGATGCAGAGCTGAGTATCCAGCTTCTTCAGACTGCTTTGTCTGTGGACATGCAGGAAGCAGCCACCACTCCTCACTGGGTGTTCGACTGCTCTCCTTTCCCCCTCCTCTACATGCTGGCCCAGCTACACAACCAGACTCTCAGGTTTGTATCATAAGTAAAGCTTTCCACTTTTTTATTTCTGAGCTGTTAAACCTTTATAGCGTTTAACATCATTTGATTTCAACTTAAACCCACCTGATCCCTCCTAGATGTTGGGAGCAACCACCAGACCACCACATCTGGTCCATGGATATGAAGGAGCTGCTGTTGTCAGTGCTGACCACTCTGGGGCAGGTGGTGGGTGCAGAGGTGGCAGCGGCCCCCAGCAGCTGGTCCCGAGCGCTGTTCTGGCTCCACAACAAGATGGAAGAGCTGGACTGGACGGTTCAGTTCCTGCTGAACCCTGTGTGGGGGGAGCACTTTAAAAATGAAGTGCCCTCCTCTCTACTGGCTGTGTGTGATCTACCTGAACAGGTATGTCCTACTGCGGAACCCGCCTACTCCTGAATTTCTTTGAAGAACAGTGTCAAGTATCAACATCCAATCTGTGAAAATGCAAACCCAGGTCTGGGTTTAGCTAAAATAAATAAAACAGAATGAATTTATTTGCAAACATCTTAAACCCTCATTTTATTCAAAGTACAACACTCAACGTGTCAAATGTTTAAACTGAGAAAATGTACCTTTTTTTAAAAAAAAAAAAGAAGAAGAAAAAAAATCTCCTTTTCAATTTGGAGGCAGAACTTTGAGACAAGGCCTTAAAAGACTGGAAAAGTCAGTGTTACTAAAACAAGTGGCTGATAACTAATTGGGTTAACTGGAAGCAAGTCAGTAACAATACAGAGTACAAAGAGCATCTTTGAGAGGCAATGTTTCTCAGAAGTAAAAGATGGGCAGAGATATACCAGTCTGCAAAGAAATGTAATCGCAAAGATTTTGAGTATCTCATCATCTCTGGTACATAACTTCAAAAAGGTTCAAAGCATCTGGAGAAATCTCTGTGGCAGAGGACAGGCCCTCAGAAAGCAATGGATTAAAAAAAAAACCAGCCATGATTCCATCATAGAAATCAGGAACGCTTCCAGAAATCACTGTTTGTGAATATGATCCAGAAACACTGCCGTCTTCTCTGAGGCAAAGCTCATAAATGGACCGATAGATCCAAACTGTTCTGTGATCAGATAAATCAAAACTCGAAAGCCCTGAAAGGTCAAATTTACTGAAACTTTTTTTAAAAAAACAGAAAATAGAAAAACGCGTAAAAGCACACAAACCACAACTGAAGTGTTAATCAGGACACAATAATGTGATGGACCGGCTAGAGAAGTGACCAGAACCAAAACATGCACACGATCACACTGAGACATGCTTAAAAGAAGAGGACTCGTCAGAGAAGACGATGCAGGATAACACAAGATTCATATAAAACTGTAGATACTGTACATGTTTGCTATTAGCTGTTAAACAGCCATCTGTTATTATGTCCACAAAACACTTCCATTTTTTTAATGATTTTTCTATTTGCTGGTGTTCTTTGACCTCTGCGGGCCACCGTAATGTACAAGTTTTAGGCTTTCAATCAGCAGATGCTGCTCAGCCTGTAGACCTTTAAGCCATTTTTGTAGCAGGCGGTAAACCAAATTTTTAATGCTGTAAATTTGGGCATTTTAACATTGAAATCTGGCTCACAGGCTCACTTTTTGAGAAAAAAAATATGTGATACTGTTATTTGTGTGGTTTCTCTAGAGCTGATTGTTTTTGCTCTCAGTTTGCATTGAACACTATGTCTGTCCTGTAGGAATGGTTGGGTGTGGACCTTCCCTCGTACGGTTTGGGCACAGGTCTTTTAGCCTGGATGGAGTGTTGCTCCATATCTGACTCTCTGCAGAGCACCATGCTGTCCTGTCTCACTCTGGACCAGCACAAACCTGACCACGTCAGCATGTTCAGCAAAGGCCTGCTAGTGGCTCTGACTCAGATGCTGCCCTGGTGCTCCGTCTCCCAGTGGAGCAGGCTGCTGAGAGGCCTCCGTGAGCTGATCACATCCAGCCGCCTTCACGTGCCTTTCTCTCTGGAGTACGTGGACTTTCTGCCCCTACTGGACCTGAGGAAGTTTTCATGTGAACTCCGCCTGTCAGTCCTCCTGCTTCGAGTCCTGCAGCTGCTCTGCGGCTCCAGCTGCTCTGACTGGCTGTCGGCGAATGGCTGGGCACACGTAGGCAGGTTATACGCCCACGCTGTGAGGGACATGATGAATTCACTACGAGCCAAACTGCCTCTTCCTTCATCTGGTGCTTTTACTGCTTCTGCTTCAACTCCTCCTAAAACGCCAGCAACCACAGACTCAAATCCAACTCTCATATGTCCAAAGTCCAAAGAAGCCAGAGACACTCCTCTGATATCAAAGGATTCACAGAAGGAGACTGCTCCAAGCCAGGAAGTTCTTTTTGTTCTGAGCCAGCTCTTCTGCCATGTTCAGCACGTCCAGGTACGACTTCTTTACACCATTCTGTCTCTGATTGGCTAATTTTTTCCTCTTATAACCAAGCAGCATGTTTGCTCAAATTTAGTAATGCACTTGGATCAGCATGTGTTAGATGCCATTGTATTTGACTGCTACAAAGTTCTCTCAGTGTGTTCTTTTCCTGAGTCAGGACTACAGGCTCACTGGTGAAATGTGTCTTCCCTTCAGGTGATGATGCCAGGAGGCCAATGTGAGCCTCTGTTCCTCTCTAGTCTGGAGATCCTCAGTCAGTACGAGGCCATTATGGCCGCCTTCCCAAACAGCTGCACCCCACTGGAGTGCGACAACACCCGCCACTTCTTCTCTACCATCTCAGACAACTTGGAGAACCTGGAGATGAAGGCTGTGCTGCAGCAGAAAATTGCTCAGCTCGTGTCCTCAGCAGCATTATGCACACACTGATCTATCTGCTGTTTCCCACTGAGCACTTTGAGTTTGCAAAAACTCAATCCTGAATATGCCTGCTGATTAACAACAGTGTAATGTTAAGGTCATGTTTAATATGAGCACCTCTCTAAGAATCCGCTAATGATGTCAGTGTATGTACAAGTTATCCCTGTGAGCCAGAAGCTCAGGCTGGAGATGACTCTAAATAGTTTTCTTTATTTTTTTATTCTTGGCTCTATGTGATGTCATAGAAAAGATATTTTTAATATAATGAGACACGGACCTGCTGTATGTGAGGGCAGGACACAAAACTACTCATGTAGGGTGCAAGAATGAAAGCATGGAGATGGAAATAAGGAGGAAATCTGTCACACTGAACTCAAGTTAAAAAGTAACAAGCTTGAACTCTCTGTGAATTAAAAACCAAACTTAAAATCATATTTTGCAACACGTTGAGCAGTTATTCTTATTTGCATTAACATTGTAGACAGCATGAAAACGTAAGCTAAATGTGTGTACTGTACACCAGGGGCACTCAGTCATCATCAGTGTGTTATTATTTCATCCTATATTCATTAAAGTGACTTTAATTTATACAAACAGATTCTGTGTAGTTGGGTAACATTGTTGAGGCTCTAACATATAAAAGCTGAACAGACAAAAGGAAAACAGCACTGCTGACAGACTATGTGATAGAGTCACAGTTAAACAACTCTCTCCTGTTAAATCTGACTTAAGTTTATTATGAAAATAATAAACTTATTTTTTCATTAACTGTAGCAATAATCTGAGGGTTTTGTGTTGGGTTTTTTTTGAAAATCATGGAGTCTTCAGTCTGCGGGCCGGCCCCTTCCTCTGCCTCAGGTACAGTCTGTTGGCTTTCCTCAACAGAAGTATAAACCAGTAGATCTGTGGAGCCAGGAGCACTAGGTTACCCACGTTGCATTGCAGTGGCAGGTGAAAGACCACTCTGTGCAGAGGAATCCCAAATTGCCGGCCATACATCCAATACATGAAGGGGAAGAGCAGGATCCGACATGTGAAGAAGCTGAGCAAGACAATGATGCCGTTGATCCTGTGGAGTCTGGTGTTGTCGAGACCCAGCTGGATATGAAACACAGAAAGATGGTGAGGGGACTTCCCTAATACATCCATGTGCGTAACACAAAACACTTTTATGCAAACATGATAAGAATTTATGCCATTTGTCGTACTACAACACAATCTTTTATACATGACCATTATAAACCCTGCACACGGTCCCACAATAAAAACACAGGACCAGGTAGGTTCATCATTAAAAACTGCATTTTGTATTTAAATCAATTATCTTTCTCTAACAGTAAATTTGCTTGATGATCTGAAATTGTTTTGGCTAGTCTCTGGTGTCTTTGTACAGTCTGCCACTCTGGTCCTGTCAGCTGTGGGAGACTCCTCAATCTATGGATCGGGAGCTTAGGTCCTGTTCCTGTGCTGCCAAGATCGAAGCCTCTGTGCTGTCCTTTAAGCAGACCTTTTCTTGCCACTAGTGGGATTTCTTGATGTCAGCCTTCCTCTAAAGGTAAATCCCATGCATTACCTGGATGAGAATCTTTCCAATGGAGACAAAAGGAGTGCTGAACTCTGTGGTGAACAGGCAGCCGATGAAGAAGTCCCCCAGTCCTCTTCTGAAGAACTGCAAATCAAACATTTAGTGGCAAGTCAGCCTGAACACACAAAGCGGAAGAGACTCCTCAGTGTTCTCACCAGAGTGATGGGCATGAAAATGAGAAGCAAGGCCATATGATGAAGAACCAACATGGAGTCCTTGATGAGAAAAGCCTTCACTGTCTGAAGAGAGTGGCCGCTGTATGAGCTGGAATGACCTTTGAGCTTCTGAGTATGGTAGTGGCTCAGATACATGGCATAGATGTCAAAGACCATGTAGGGCACTCCAAACAATACAAATGCGTTCACCAGCCAGTGACTGTGAAGTGAGACAGGAAACACTTTCACTGAACTAACAAACTGACAATCTAATGATAACTCATGTCTTCGTGTGAAACAAACTATGAAACACTAACCTGTCAGCCATGACGTCCCTGCAGGATGTCATGACTGTGACTCCAGCTGCAGTAGCCAGAGAAGCATGTATGGCAGAAACCAGCCTAAAGTAAGCAAAGCAACTGTTTGGGTAGACACAACTGCACTGGAATACATGCACGTTTATTTGTTATCTGGCTTTTTAATAGTCCCCACTGCACACGCAATGAATATTCAAACCCTCACAGGCGTGCAATGTGGTGCCTTTGGCACATATCCTACAAACACATAACCAAATTATTATGTCAAATTCTAAAATCTAAGTCAAGCTTATATTTAACGGGAATCAGAGGATTCCTTACGTCAAAGACGCCTCTATGGTTTGTTATATATGTGCCGAATTTAGCTGCTCTTTCCTGTTAGTAATGTGACACAGGAAGCAAATCTCCGCAGTGTGTGTAACGAGACAGATAAACAACACAACATTAAACTGGCGTTTGTGATGAGGTGACCCGTGTGGATGCTGACCTCTCACTGACACAAACCACGTCAGCGTCGCTCCACTGTGTGAAAGTGGATTTAAGGACTTTTCTGGAGCTGCAGAAAAGTCCAGGGAACACCAGAGCGCCACAGACCAGAGCAGAAAGCATTATGTTAGCCGGCCTCCTCCTGGTCCCCGTAACCGTTTTAACACAGTCTACATACCAACACCTGCCGTAAGGACACCATCGTATTTCTGTAAGCTAACGGCAACTAGCTTCTCTGATGGTTTGTTGAACTTCCGTCAACCTTTATTTAGAGGGTTATGATTGGCTGTAGGAGAAGAGCTTTAAACCAATAGAAATCCTTGACTTTAAACTACCTTTGAATTTCTCAGTCGTAAAATGTCAGAAAATGTCGTAATGACAGTGACTTACCAATAAAAGGACATGTCTAAGATAAGTCTTCGTTTAACAATATTATGGATTCATGTCCATTTAGATTAAATTACTCATTGAAAAATTACAAATGAAATAAAACACAGGGGCTTAAACAGTTTCCAGTATGCAGTCTGTTATACCAACATATAGTAGAACCAGCGTGTCATATATTTACAGGCAGCAAGCAGGAAAGTGTGCTTGGTTCTCACAGAGCAGGAATGCAAGGCGGCTCCAGCCTTTCTCCAGAGGCATTATAACAGAGAGAGACATGGTACTGAAAGGACCCTGGACTGGAACCTACAGTACAGAAGAATCCTGTACCAGCAAAGATGCTGACAGAAATATAACTTCCAAGGGAAGAAAAGCTTATTTAAAACCATATTTTAATGAAAAGTCAGCAAAATTCTGAGTATTATTTTAACAGATTTGACAGAAGATTCAGTTAATGATCTTCTTGATTTCCTCTTGCCAATTAAAATGAAAGCATGTAGCTAATGAAAGCTACATACTTCAAATTAAGTGCCCAATAAGTGCCCAGAGAACTGCTGCAACAATGGTTTGGAGTTTCTTTGTGACCTCGGGGCAGCAGTCTTTGACCTAAAGCTTAGAAATAGTGCAAACTGGCAACTTGCTAATCTCCTACATCAAGCATTATTTCCAGTTGTGTTGATTATGTTTGACCGCGTGGCCGCAGAGCCTTCAGTTTTCAGGCCCCTCTTCTGTGGAACCAGCTTCCAGTTTGGATTCAGGAGACAGACACTATCTCTACTTTTAAGATTAGGCTTAAAACTTTCCTTTTTGCTAAAGCATATAGTTAGGGCTGGATCAGGTGACTCTGAATCCTCCCTTAGTCAATAGGCATAGGCTGCTGGGGGATTCCCATGATGCATTGAGTATTTCTTCTTCAGTCATCTATCTCACTCACTATGTTTTAATAGTTGTACAAAGTTTTAAAACTTTTTAGTAATCTCTGGCTCTCATCCATAGCATGTCTTCTATTCTGTGTTCCTCCTCTCACCCCAACCGTTCACGGCAGATGGCCGCCCCTCCCTGAGCCTGGTTCTCCCAGAGGTTTCTTTCTGTTGAAAGGGAGTTTTTCCTTTCCACTTTCGCCAAAGTGTTTGCTCATACCCCTTATGATTGTTGGGTTATTCTCTGTATGTATTATAAAGCGCCTTGAGGTGACTGTTATTGTGATTTGGCACTGTATAGATAAACTAGACTAAACTCTCAGCAGTTGGAGGATACTCAACTGCAGAACCAGACTGTGACTGTGACCTATAATACAATGCCATTTTTGAAATCAAATGTATTTCTTTAGAATATTGCAGCACTTTCACAGGAACGCCTCACAGTTGCCTGTTTAAATAAATACACTTGAGTGTTTAATTTGACTGTTGGATTTGTACTTCAGTGCTAGTTGTACTTTATCATACATGTGAACTTTATGAGACCATCTTCTTCTTTCAGCGTCATTTTAAGGGTTGACACAGCAGATCGTCTGATTCCATCTCACTATATCCTGGCATCCTCCTCTGTCACACCAACCCTCTGCATGTCCTCCTTCACTACACACTCTACTGCCCTAGTCGCCTGTCTCAACTTCTCTCTGAACTCTGTGTGCTACATTCTTCCTGTTATTAAATGGCCTGGTAAATGGCCTGTATTTATATAGCGCTTTACTAGTCCCTAAGGACCCCAAAGCGCTTTACATATCTAGTCATCCACCCATTCACACACTGGTGATGGCAAGCTACATTGTAGCCACAGCCACCCTGGGGCGCACTGACAGAGGCGACGCTGCCGGACACTGGCGCCACCGGG